CATCTTTAATCCCAGCACTAGGGAGGCAGAAGCAGGCAGATCTCTGTAAGTTCAAGGCCAGCCTGGTTTACATAGTAAGCTCCAGGTCAGCTGGGGCTACAAGGAGACCAAAAAAAAAAAAAAAAAAAAAAAAAAGGCCAAGGTATTAAAACCAACAGAATCACACTGCAGAAGACTGCATGTATCAGAATCAGCCAAGAGAGGATATGAAGCAAGTATATTTAACATAAGTAAAAGAAATTATAGGAGAAAAATAGAAAGCAATGAATAAAATGTTTAGATTTGAGAAAAGTAAAACTACAAATATATTTGGAATTAACTTCTCCAAAGATTGTTTTTAATTTCAGATTAGATAAAGCTGAAAAGATGGCTAAGGCATCAGTACAGAAAAATTGATTAGAATGTAGTATAACAAGAAAGGAAGCACTCCCCTTCCAAAGTAAACGGGCCATGGACTCACAGCATGAGAACAGGGTGCGAATGCAGAGGCAACATCTGAAGGAAAGTTCCAGGAATTATGCAGCAGAGCTAAATTCAGGACAAATGTGATGCAGTCCACAAACAGCACAATGAAGCTACAGAATTGCAGAAGGCAAGAGGTCTTAAAGTCAGAGAGAAAAGTCAGATTCCTCTCAAAGAAAGACAGAGGCACTAAATTCTCAAAGGCAGCATTGGAAGCCAGGGCTCAGTGGAATAACAAAACAGCCTCAAAATATCGAAAGGGAGCAACTGTCAGTCAAGAATTCTATACCCAGCAAGAGTATTCTTTAAGGTAAGTGTGCTCCCAACAGACCCTACAAAAAGAACATTGTAAAGATATAAACAAAGCCAATGTCAGAGAAAATTATACACATAAGGAACAGTAGAGAAAAAGAACAACATAAAACAATAAACAGAATTCCATAAAATTCATTATATTAGAGAATTCAACAAAATGATAATTAAGATGAACAGTGGCAGAAATAAAATATATAAGTCAGAAAAAGGTATTTGCAATTAAAAGTAATCCAAGAATTATAAAGAAATAAATTAATTTTAACCTTTTCTATGATTACATTCCAGGAGAAGGCTATGAAAAGAAGAAGAAGAATATCAAATTTCAAGCCTTAAAATCAGAAACAATGTGGTGATGAAAATAAAAATTTTAAAGAAGAAAAAATGTAATAAAAAATATTTGGGGGGGCAAATAGAAAGTACCACACTGAGGGCTGGAGAGCGTAATCAGTGGTTAAGAGCACTGGCTGCTCCTGCAGAGGACCTCGGTTCAGTTCTCAGCACTCACACGGCAGTCAACAACCACCCTAACTCTATCTAGTTCCTGGGTAATCTGACACCCTCTTCTGATCTCCTAGGGCATTGCATGATATGGGTACACTTACACACATACAAGCAATATACTCATATACAAAAAATAAAAACAAAAAATACAATATTTTTAAAAAAGAATATCACACTGAAGAGAGATAAACCCAGACATTAATATAAGTGCTGTAACTGTTCCATTTAAAGTAAAAGATCTTCTAACTAAGTGCCATTTCTGAGAGATACGTGAAACATAAGAAAGCTTTCAACAGGAAAACTGAAAGTAAAAGGATGAAAAAAAAAAAAAAAGGTGCTGTGACTCTTAGCCTATAATTTGCTTAAAGGAACAACTGTGCCAAAAATATACTTGTAATGCCTGATACTATAAGGGTCTTGAAGTGTCTGTTAAATTACAAGTACTACTGGATTACAGGCTTAGAACCACAAGCTGCCTAAGTTTGTATTTCTTTGATGCATCTCTGTAGGCCTCATTTGTGACTTAAAGCTGTCAACACGGCTCCAGAGCAATCAGAACCATGGGTAGTGTTTATAAGGTGATAATTAATTCTACTGGTGTATTTACAATATTTCTTTCTGTCAAAACAGAGTTATTCCACTTAATTGTTCAATTAGATAAACTGGAATCAATATGTAATTGCTTAAAGACAGCACAAAATGTTAAGAGAAAAGCTTTAAAAGTATTTTTTTTCCTGGGGTGGAATTCAATATTCCTGTTTGATTCACTTGCTAAAAATGATTTAAAGGCTCTTTTGACTTAATTCTGTTTCCCATTTAACCAGAGTCATTGCAATACAACATTCCATACAAATCTTACATACATCTAGAGGAAAAATTCCAGTTTAATCCATAACTGTCATAAAAAAAATGCTTGGGCACTTCCAACAGAGGGATTTTTCTAGCACTTTAATAAATATATCTTGAATAAATGGGGAGAGGGATATTGAATCCAAAGTGAACATTGTGCAGAGTTGGAATAGGAAACTGAATTTTCTTGAGAAGGAATATACATTTAAACAAGACCCTGGGAAGAACAAAAGGCCAGTTTGAATCGGGGCATTGCTGAGGAAGCTGTCCTCCAAGCACATGCCAATTCTCCAGAATCTGCAGCTACAGAATGTGACTTCTACCATGTAGTGCTTTTACAATCACTGGCAGAGAATCGGACGTGCTTCTGAGATGTAGATATTGAGTGACTGGATGGGAAACTCACTGCAGCAAAATTTCATCAGCTTGAAAGCTCATAGTATACAAATTCATGCCTCAGAACAATTACGAAATGTGCTTCTAAAAGGTTAAACATAAGTGATAGAATCTGTAACTGACAGTTCTAAGAAATCTGGGTTCCTCCTCACTTACCTACTCACAGAAGCTGAGGAGAGCAGGCAATGCTGCCTTCATTAAGAACAATCCTGTATAAAATTTACTGTCAAGTGGTACTGCTAATGTTCCATTAATTTCCTGAAATGCCAGCAAAGAATACTGAAAAGATATAGTCCAGATGTACAAATTGATCTTAACTGTGAGCAAAATATTCCTTTCCCCTTATAATATAGCACATCTCATTTCTGTTTCCAAAATGCCTAGAACCCAGGCAGAATGCAACATTTATACCACTGGCCACAAAAAATTCTTGGTGTTCACATTTAGTTCTAGGCACTTGTTGGCTGGTAGGCACCATTCAATTAATCCCTGTTTTCTGAGGAAAGTTTTTTTTGCCATCTATACTCATCTGAAGTCCAGGCTTTCACTAACCCTGTGCATTATTCATCAAACACCAATTAGCCTTCTCGTGCCTCTTCATATTCCCTATGAGATAGTGCCTCAGTGACCACAGGGAGCAGCTGCAGGGGTGGGGAGAATGAGAGTGGGGCGAGTTTGGTTGTGCAGTTGTTTCGGGATTTGTTTTCATTGTGCATAGGAAGACAACAAAACATGGAAATTACTCTCAGAAAGGGAGAAGTTTACAGTCACAGATCCCCACAACAGGAGGCTAGGCATAGCACATGGACACCTAGGGAGGTACCCAGGTCATGTAGGACAAAAAGGGCCATCACAGAGTCGGACACAGATATGTGTTGAATCACAGATTGGGACACAGTTATGTGTTGGCAGTTTTGTGGGCAAGGATGGGTAGGGTAGGCATCCTGAGAAACAGAGGTGTGCATGGTTACTGTAATGTCACCTGACTCTGGGCTCCGTGTTGGGCCTTGGTTGGCCGAACCTGGTCCTGGGTTGAGGCAGGGCTGAGTTGGTGTGTATGTGAATTCTCATCAGCTTGTTTGTATATCATGGGGGCGGGTGTCAGAGTGGAGTCATTTATTGTAGTCTCTCTAGAGGCCTAAGACACACTAGAGTCTCTCCAGGGTTAAGAAAGGTCAAATACCAAAACATCAAGAATATAGAAACAAGAAAGTACTGTCAATACCGTCATTAGGCTAAATTAATCCATGAATTGCAATTCGTCTGGACTGTTAATAATTTAGTATTGCTCGTGGAAATTCCATAGCACCTCTTTGGCACCTTGTTGGCAGTTTAACTTGCCCAAAACAAAATTCTCACAAAGGTAAAAAAAGGAAACAGAGTGGTTAACACACAAGACTGTTTATTAGGAAGCTTTTTAAAGAAATAAGAGAGGTGGCTGGAGAAATGGCTCAGTGGTGAAGAGTGTATACTGCTGTTGCAGGGGGCCCCAGTTCAGTTCCCAGCACCTACATGGGGCAGCTCACAACTGTAACTACAGCTCCACCGGGATCCAACACTTCTGTCACCTGTACTTACCTGTACATACTCCTACAGGGATACATGTACATACACATAATCAAAAATAAACTTAAAAGAAGTTTTTGGCTAGCATGCAGAAAGCCCCGGGTTTGATCTTTAGCACCAGGTTAACATAGTGAGGTGGTGCATCTGTTAATATCAGCACTCAGGAGGCAGAAGCAGTGGGATCAAATCAAGGTCATCCTTAGTTATATTGTACTTAGCAAGTTTGAGGCCAGCCTGTGCTATAAAGATCCGCCCCCGCCTCGCAAAAGGGATGGGGTCCCCAACTAAATGGTCCCCACCATTCAAAAAACGTTTTGAATGAAGGGTTAAGCAAACTTGATTTTGGAAGTCAAGTACCACACAAAACTTATTCTGCCTTACGATGCACTTTGTAGGAGTGCAAACAACTTTTATGCTTAATATATCTGTATTAAAATGACACAGAAGGAACTTAAAAGTGTAACTGCGCACGTGGTTTAATGCATTTTGTTTGTAACCTCGTGGTTCATTGACCAAGTACATGTTCACCAATGTTTCTCAATAGGGAAGTATAAACTTATTCTGATCACAGAGCAATGAAGGTGTCAAACACAGACCATACCTTGGCAGCATCATCGCCTTCGTCTTCATGCACTGAGCTGGAAGGTGATGGGGTTGCAGACTTGCTCCCGGGTGGAGACGGGGAGTTGTGGGGAACGTTGCTTCCTCCCATGTTCAAGCCCAGTTGGGCGCTCAGCTGGGACTGGTTAATGGTGGTCAGCTGACCATGCTGCATCATGCTAGCCTGCTGCCTGATGTCTGCAGGCTGGCCTCTGGGCCTCATGGCTGCCATCTGAGGGTGGGGGCTGTACTGAGCTCCCTCTGTGTTCCGGATATCCTGCATCTGAAATAAATGAACAAATACGCAAAATTTTAGAAACATGCTTGTTGAAATATTTGTTTTGTTTTTATTTTTAAATTTGGACTTTAAAAAATATTTTATTTATTATTTTTATTTTATGTGTATGAGTGTATTGTCTGCATGTATGTAAGTGCACCCGGGTCATGCAATGCCACATAGGTCAGAAGAGGTTGTTGGACCCCTGGAACTGGAGTTACATACAGTCGTTAGCTGCCATGTGGGTGCTGAGAATGGAACCTGGGCCCTCTGTAAGAGCAACCAGTGCTCTAAATGATTGAGTCATCTCTCCAGCCCTAAATTTTGACTTCTTGACAGAGGATCTCACTATGTAAGCCCAGGCTGGCCTGGAACTCATGGTCCTCCTGCTGTAGCTTCCTGAGAGCTGAGATTAGATTAATTAGATTTAAGTTCACACCACCATACACAGCTAAATTTTTTTTAAATTCTATCAATTGTAGGCTGTCCCATTGATTATATATAATATATATATATATATGTGTGTGTGTGTGTGTATACAGTAATTTTCTCTGTAGTATAATAACCCTGGCAATGCACACTACCTTAAATAATATAAAAAAATGGAGCTGTGGGTATAAATCAGTAGTAGAGTGCTTGCCTAGCATAGGTAAGGCTTGCTCTCCACCCTCATCACCACCAACGACCAACCAAAAAACAGAATTTGATAATCCCATTAACATCACATTTCATGACCCAAGACTAACTCATTATATTTATGTTTTCATACTGATATGTAGACTTGTTATTAATTAATTTATGTGTATATACTATACTTATATTACACAACTGTCAACATGCTGGTGTTTATTAGGGTGTCTTTCTAAATTATAAAATCAGCGCTTATAGCTTCACAGCCATTCATTTTGATGATGAAAAATTAAGCCCTAGGTTTTAACTCTGATCATTTAAGGAAAGTTTCAGGAGTCACTGAGGGAGCTGGTGTTCTCAGTTTAATTCTTCATAGAATAGCCCTCACCAGAATGTTCTTCTACCTACCACACTCAGGATACTTACAGACGTGTATTAACCAATTGATTAATTGATGATTGCAATGATTTGACTGTGCTGACAGATTTGAAAGTAGAGCTCTAAAATTGCAAGGTCACCATATTAATCCATTATGTTAACCGGGTCACTGCTTTTTAGCCTTAATGAGACTCACTCTTGTAATTCAAGCAATGACTTTCGTCTCGGCAAGGATTAGAATTAAAAGCATTGGAGGATGAAACGCTTAACGTTATCTGGAGGTCAAAGGCATTGTGTACGAGGAGTATGGTGGATTTCACTTAATATTTCTCTAGCATTTCTAAAGTTAAAATAATGGGGACTGCTCTATAGCGCTTATGAGTCAAATCAGTTTTTTTACCCTGAGAGAACTTGGGGAATTCAGGTACAAAGTACTCCACATAAAAGCACAAGGAAAAAGAAACCAAACAAAGGCTGTGAAGGAATCTATAGTTCAAACCACACATAGAACTGAAAAATCAAATTAGTGCTATTTGCTATTTCATAAAAACAATTCCACATAGATTAAGATGCCTAGTCATTACCTGTCTGAACTGTTATTATGACCTGAAAAAATTATAACGGTTTTCTAGAAACCACAGATGTTTTCTAGCAATGTGTTCCAATAACTTCACCACGCTAATTGACCCATCTAAACTTGGAATGTGGCTGCGTGGGGCCCTGGATTCATCCCCATGCATGCCCTGTGTCCACGCTCCCTAATTGGTTGTTTTCTTGGGCTATTTCACCCTGCTAATGGTTCCCCAACTCCTGTTCCTGCCCTGCTTTTACCCTTGGTTCAAGTTCCTACCCTCCAGCCTCTTCTTGGCTAAGCTGAGGTTCATTCGTTCCACAAGTTTGCAGCTGCCAAATTCCTAGTCCAAACCAACATTTTTCAAAAACACAAACTGCATTGCTCTAATCCTTTAAAAGGAATTCTCATAATTCTCCTTTCATAAAGCCCATCATTAAGCAGTTACTACTATTTAATGTCAGAGTTACGAGGAGTCTTAAGGGCTCTTGTTCTATAGGAGAGATACGATATTCACAGATATCCTGAAAATCCTACCCTTCTCAGAGGGTGCCATAAAAATTAGAACTGGCTTTTTGAAAAATACACAGAATAGGGAGCACACTAGGCTTTTTTCCCCCTAGGCTTACTCTTGAGTACTAAATTCCTATACTTTTTAACATTTAGAGCAGATTTAACTATGGGCACGGAATAATGAGTGCCCATAACAAACTCTATACCATACACTGTAGACCCCTCCCAAGCCTGCACCAAATAAAACACTCACATACATGTTCAGACCCTTCATGGAACACATTTCACAGCTCTGCAAATTCAAAATATTTTCTAGAAAAGTCTCTAAATTATTTTTCTCAAAATATCTAACTGCTTGATGTCTTCATTTCCTCTCCCCATGTGTCTCCAGTTGCAAAGCATGTGCAGTGTGTAGCACATCTGTTTTGAGTCCATTTCATCTTTTCCTCTCTGAAATCTTATAGTTGCAGAGGGTGATTTCTAACTTGACTTCCACATAGAACCTCCAGATTCATGACAATAAAGTGTTCCTTACAAAGGTGTAATCTCCTTTTATGGTGCCTATTTCTTTCACTGTATTGTGACCTTGTTACATTGTTTTCTTGTGTTAATTTGTGTTATTGGCAGGTCTCAGGAATGAGGTCTGTTACTCCTGCCCCTAGAGGTAGTGTTAGCTAGGATGGGACAGAAGATTGTTGGATAAAGATGATGAGGTGGTCAGGGAAGGACCTCTTTCCCTCAAACTCATCATTGGTTTAAAATCCAGGCCACCAATCGTGTCAGACCAGGCAGACAGCAGTTTTGACACAGCATCAAGATATAGTTTTCCCATGGGGAGGGGGGTAAATATAACAAGAGACCATCATCATCTCCTCAGCCCACATGCTCTTAGAAACAGCTGAATCCTAATACCACGGTGACATTCATGATCTAGGAGAAGCACTTCCATGTTACCTTGCTTACACAGGAGCTGGTTTGTTATTAGTGACTAGTGCTTAATGTGTGGGGGAATTAAACTGGATGAAGTCTGATTACTGAAAAGAGTAATTAATGAGCTCATAAAGGTAAGCAAATGTTTTGATTACCACTTTCCTTCTAGAAAGGCACTGATTAACTGTAGCTTGTAATACCTGATACAAAATTTGAACTAGATATTTCCTGTTATCCCCCATGTTTTAAGTCCATGGGGAACAGCGTGACTAAAGTGTCCTCAGTAAGAACAATTGTTCACTCTGTTTCTTCTCAGCTCCTTCTTGACTTCTCTGTTCTCTAAAACTTCTGTTCCTCAATGATTCCTTTTGTGTCCTGAGTCACTTTCCTTCCACCAGCTAGGATTCATGGCGGACTTATTCATGGAGAATACTCTAAAGGACAATGTGCTGATCTGATCCAAACTCCAGGCCTAATAGTGCCACTGTTTGCTAGACTGCTACTTGAACCTCACTCCAGCTACACGGGAAGACAAGGTTTTCCTTCCCAAACCCACTTTCTTCCATGCAACTGACGTCTGCTGATGATACCTTCATCTTCTTTGGTACCTGTACTCAGAACATTCCAGTCTTTTCTTTACACTTTTATTTTCCAAATTCTGAGTTCTGTGAGTCTACTTTAGAGTATCACTGCTTTCCTCCTGCCTCCCATTCCATTTTGACATCCATTCACTTAGTATAGGCCTCCTCTGTCTTCAACTTCCAATAGCCATTGAGCTGAAAACAAGCTTTCAAATCTAGTATGAAGAGTGTTAGCCATGGGCTCAGACACTTGTCAATGGCATTGGCTTTCACGTGCTGTCCAAACTCTTGAGCATGATGCTAAAGCTTCCAAATACCTACTTCTTATCACTGGCTTTCATGCATGGTAGGGTTCTGCCAAATCCAGTGAATTCTCATTCTTTGCCTAGGTCTCTCACCTTTGATCATATGTCTTTTTTATGCTATTCTTTCATCACTCAATAACCATTTTATGAACATTTGCTATCAGAAATATTTATTTTAAAGGAGGAAAAAGGACTAATTTGTTCAATCATTTATGGACTGTCCAGTACTTTCTCTTCTTGCACCTACCTCCCTTCGACACAGGCTGTTTTACACAAGCCTGTTGAGGAGGGGAAAGATTAAATATCTTAACCTTCTCTGTCAACAAAGACTGACGTAGAATGAAAGGTACGTGTTGTATATGTGTGCTTTTCCCACCACCCCATCAGCACCATTTCTATCATCTTGATGTATGAAAACTCTAGATACGTAAGTCAGAGTTTAAAAATGAGCTCTTCTGCAAGGCATTTAGAACCTTCCTTTTCTAAACTACCAAAGCATTTTCTTTGGCTTCATGTGATACCAGTTTTACATTTCTTAGTCTGATGTGCTATCGTTTATAGAAAGCTTGATTGGTACATGACTAAGGTATTTTTCAGGTGTTCATGAGATCTCTTCTTTCTTCAGTGATATTCTAAATATTTTAAAAATATTTGCTGTGTCAGGACATACATCATTGAAAAAGTTAACGCTATTAGTGTAAACTGACTTTAAGCACCCCCCCCCAGAATTTCATCTATCATTAGTCAGAAAATGAAAAGTTTGACTAATATCTGTTTCCTTTTGTGGCAAAAACCTCAAGCCATACCCCATGATACTGTTTATGTCCTGAGGAACAGGATTCTAGTATTTTGTTGTCTGACTAAATAGCTGGCACAGGAACACATCTGGTGCCTCCCTTGCAGCTAGGTATATGGTTGTGCCACTGTGTAACCTCAGTGGCATAATCTCAGTGAAAGGAATTCATGTTTCTGTGCTCTTTCTTTTTAATGTTCATAGCAGCATCCTTTATAAACAGTCAAACATTACAAACAACTAAGATGTCCTTCAGTGGGTCCAGATTAGAACACTATGGTACATCCACACCATGGACTATGACC